TAAGAATTTTTTTGGCCTCATCTAGTCCTCATTTACAATCGGTCATTGATTCAAACGGACACAGAGATGGACTTTAAGGAACACTAATTAAGTGCAGTGAGAATCAGCTCTATATCTTGCAACTCTGTAGCCATAAAAAGTATAGAAAAATTGTATCAGTGACCTTAAGGAAAATTGGAAAGAATTTGAATGGGAAAAAATATAGTAAATAACTACAAGGCACATTTACTTCCTGTTGTTGAGATTGGGGTAGAGAAAATGGTAACATCTAAACACTGAGATGTTACATAATGTTTATGAAATAGTAGTGCTTTTTCCTAGCATTTCAGTGATTATATTTTCAGAACCTTGCTTTTGTTTTCTGGTACCTAGGGCATCTATACCACGCAGAAGCTTCCTCACAGGGCTTCGCATTTGCACAAATGCTTTAACAATGCCCTCTCACGGTTCAAGTTCCCACTATTTTGTGCCGGAAAAACTTGTTTATTCGCACACAAAGGGCCATCCTGCTGTTATAAAAACCCCTCGGTTAAATGCATCAGTAAAAAACTCACCAGAGAAAAAATACTAACCAAACTGTCCGGAACCCCCAGAGACAGCGGTTCCTAAGAGGTGCCCGCGACTCGCTTTGTCCTGCTGCCTTCCTCCCTCTCCAGAGCAGGGCAAACCTGGCGCTGGGGCGAAGCAGCAAAGGCAGCCCCATGGCTCCATTTTAACAACGCTCCTACGGAGACAGAGAGCTTCACGGAGCCCACCCAGGCTGGAACAGCAAGAGACGCGCGTGGCCTCTGCTATCTGGTAAGGATACAAATCTTCGTGAAGAGAACCCATATTCTTTTCAAGATAATGATTCATATCAAAGATTAACAAAAGTATTCTAGGGCAGAATATAGAGTTAAGAGAGTCTACCACGAAAAATGTCTACTTCAGAAAGTACCTCTTTGTTCTAGCTTTCCTTTTTTTTGTTACATCTGCTAGAAATAATGACTGCAGAATCTCTTTCAACAAAAGGTCATTTATGTCAATGGACAGAACACAGAGGATCGGATCACCTGCGGTAATTGCAAATTAATGCTCTACTGCTAATGCATTAACTACACTATATTGATCTACAATTGAATCATTCAGGCTACTGTGAAGTGATTTTTACTTTAATATTTTTGCACTTTTATTGCCTTTTCCATAATGCATTTTCTCTTTCCACTGGAATTTTCTATAATTGTCTCCACTTTTAATTTCCTACAGTGAGATGACTTTGAAAAATATATGTCTGCTTCAAAGCCTTGCAAAAAATTTAACAAACCATCAGTGTGACATGGTAAATCACATATGTGATGTAAAAGATGCAAAAAAAATCCAATATGCATCTTATTTTGATAAATTTGGGCTTAAAAAAACTCAGTTAAAAGAAAGACTCAAACTCACTGGAAGCCCACAATAATGAACTGCACCTCAAAAAGACGTAGCTAGACATCTCCAGAGCTTTGGGTATGCAAGAGCTGCAGGACTGCACTCTCCACAGATAAAGTTGTTATTTTCTTTTAATTTTATGCTTGTACTGAAAAGGGATTGGTGGATTTGGGTGCTTTACAAAAAAGCATAGTGCTAGGATATCAGCTGAAGAATGACTGAAATGTGCCAACATTTTTAATGAAAAATTTAAAAAGCATTTTTTTTTTGCAAATGCTTCAGAACTGCAGAAAGAGGAAAATGTTCCATTCAACTGTTTTAAATTTTAACCTCAGATACTACTGACCAGGTAGTTTTCTACACCTGCTGCAATATTTCTTTACATGTGAACATTTTGTCAGTAAAGATGTTAAAATGTTGCCTTCCATCTACTAAAGGAGGGGATAGAATGCACAGTTACTGTATACATCAAAAATTGAAATTCTTTGCACAGACCATTCCCTAATATTTCTACTTAGTATCACTTGAGTTTGTTATAGCATATATTAAAATATGGCTTACTGTGTGACTCCAGACTTGCATTTCTGTGTAAGCTGATTTTGTCAATGGAAAATAAATCCCCACATTTTAAAAATAAAAGCCATTGGAAAAAATAATGGAGAAATGATGGTGGTGAAATAGATGCAGTGGAAAACCTGATCCTGCTTTTAATGGCGCTACATTCATTATTCATAAACCTCCTTCTCCAAGATACATGCCCCACTGCAATTAGATCAACGCACAGAGAACCCTCCGATTTTCTTAGCTCATCAACATCATCATCTCGCAGTGGAGAGGACACAGGGCTCTTGTCTAGGAAAAACAAAGGGGAGTCTAATGACCACCCAAGTGTTGCTGCTCTCCTAGGCTCTAACTAAGCTTCACGGATGGATCAATACAATCTGTGCTGCTTAGCATTATCAGACAGAAGTTGTTTAAATGCTGGATGAACTGACATTCCCCACCCCATTAAAATACTACTAAAACACAAACATCCAAGCAATATCCTGCGTAGCAGAGTGGTGATAACAGAGGCAGTAACGACCTCAAGGTCTCCAGCTCCAAGCGGATGAGCAGCTATCACCTCCTCCAAGCAGCGGCGGTGCAGAGCGACACATCTGTCCAAACCAATCTGTGCCGTATGCCTGCTGCCTCCCAAGAAATCTCTCACAGGGAGTTTTCATGGTTTTGGAAACATGATGTAAGACCATAAAATTGATAGTACTGGGTCAATTCATATGTCCATTTTGCACCATCTCCAACTATGTCCAAAACAAATACTTAAGATTATGGGAAGCATATATGAAATTAGGGAGGTTTTGACTGGTGAGGAAGAAACGAACAGGGCATTGGTACAAGGAGAGTCTCTCAGAAAGGTCAAAGAGAAATTGGGATTCAGGGAAAAGTGTAACAGGTGGATGTTTGCATGACCTAGGCAGGCAGGAAAACAGTTAGCTTCAATTCTCATAATCATAACTAGGTTCCAAAGGTAACCTATGAAGATGAAGTTGCCCTGTTATAGTCATCACCACCTATCTAGTCTGACCCGCAAATAGAAGTCTCATAGCAGTCTTGGTCAAGAATATTCCCTATATGACTGTGCATTGAGAGCATCTGTTTATGCTCCCTTCCATTTGCCTTTCCTGAGATGAGGGAATTATTTATTCATAACCTTACACTGACTTTATTAAAGGTTTATTTTTAAATAAATGTAATTAAACTATTTCGGAACTTGCCTGCATATCAGTTTTAGAATCCACTTATCTCAGATTAATATAAATGGCCTCCCTATTTTAGTGAAACAGAAATAACCCACTCGTACTGAGGATAGGTTTGAAACAGAAGAGTTTAAATCAGTTATAGAGCTGATTTAAGTTAAACTGGTGAAAAGCCTAAGGTGCAGGACAGAGGTTTCTCACCATTCCTGGAAAATTCTTTTGGAAAGAGTTAAGTCTTATATGGCTCTCTGAAGGGCAGAAGGCTAGTGTAGATGCACATGAAGAAAAGTACAGATGAAAGGGAATTCTGGAAGCCACTTCCAGAGAACTTATTTATCAGTAAAAGAAAATAAAAATCAAAAATGTTTCATAAATCCAAAACTTTCTTGAGCACGATTAGGATGGTTGCATTAAATTATGTGTGTATTATGCTCTCTAAGTGTTTCCTTGCCAATCCTGTATTTTTTGAGACAAATGGTGTTCTGTAATTTGTATCATTACTGAGTATTTACACGGAAAAGACTTTAAGACCATTATGTAAGAAAGTCAGATCTGTTGTTTATTAATGGAAAAAAAAAAAGTTTGAACTATTCTGATGAAACTAAACTAAAAAAATAGGAAATGGTATTAATAAAGCTAACAAGCATAGTGACTCTACAAAGAGGCAGTAGCCGCCTACTTCACTTCTCACAGATGCTAACTTTCTTGTGTCCATGTACATTAAAAAAAGCGGGGGGGGGGGGGGGGAAACGGGCCAAAACATTAAATTGCCCTTTTTTTTTTTTTTTTTTTGCAACAGAGTAAACAGGGAACTAATCTCAGTAGTTACCATAGCTGTGCAATAATGAAGGTCACAGTGAACCCAATTCTTAATGTCAAAGTGGACTGGGGAAATTAAATCATCCTAGTTGAGTCACTGGGGAGTGACACAAAGCCAATATTCACCAGACCCACAGCTGCAGTTGTCTATGCTGGGAATTCCACAAAAGGGGACTAATATCTGCCAGAATGGAACTATATGTAACAGAACAACATAAAGTAACTACCACCTGCCCCATATCAACTAGTCCAACATACACAGCACACACAGCAATGCTCTAACATCTCAATTGCAACAGGTAAGGGGCTGATCTGCAGCCAATGCCCATAACAAGAGACCACCAAAGCTCCCTCTCACAGCAGGGACTAACGAACCAGCTGGGCCTGACTCAAGAGGGCCTCAAAACAACCCAGCAGGCAAGGCAGGCCATGTCAACCACTGCATACTACCCAGCACCTCGGTCCAAAGGAACTGGCTGCAACGCCAGCACCGTAGCTGTAGCTGTGTGCTTTCTGTTATAGCAGACACACTTACAGGACACAAGATGCCTGGATGAGGAAGAGCTACTTTAAATTGATTCCCAGTGGGATCAAGGTAGGGCTCCTCGGAACTCCTCCCCCTAGACAGCATCTTTGCAGAAGACAAAGGCTGAGAATAAAGGAAACAGGCTGGGAATCTCAAACTTAACTCTGGGTTCAACTTGTTTGTGTGATGAGGCATAAATGTTTAAGGTTTAAATCCTACGGATTAGGGGAAATAGTGCTAACATACTCATGGCTAGTCTTTTCCCAGATCAGTATCGTGACACCCAAAGTCATCTTTTGGCAACCCCTACTACTCTACCTGAAGCGAATGTCCCTTACAAAGAAGCATGGATCTAGAATTCTTTTCAATGGTGTAATAAATCCACTATGTTACTGTTTGAAAGGAAATCTTTAAGATACTTTATGATTTTTAATTACAGTCATTTTAATTTACATGTTTTAAAGGAGGAAAAAAAAAAAAAAAGGTACCTGTAAAACAGAAGCGCCGCTGTGCAGAAACTGGAGCCCACTTTCAGCAGAGTCGATTCCTCCAGTTGCTAAGATGGGAAATCCTGGAATAGCCCGGGCTATAGCAGACACTGCACGGAGGGCAATGGGTCGAATGGCATTTCCTACATAAAGCCAGAACATTTTGTTAGGAATGTCAGAAAACCCTCTGTGTAATTTGCACATCCCTCATGGAAGAATCATCAGGAACTAATGTCTAATTCTGACAGGCAGAGATTATACTAATTTATAAACCAACACCCGCTGGGTTTCAAGTAGTATCAATAGTTGTATTATTAATTTGGGTGTAATAAAATTGCAGAAACATTTGGATAAACAATGTAAAGTTGGCTTGAACATTTTAACAGATGCTCAGAACAAAGACTAGCAATGTTTGAAACAGAAAGCAACACCATCCCATACCATACACAGCAGACAAAAAGATCTACGTTTTTACATCAAGAATCAGGTTGTTTTTTGAAACCCCTGTTGCCAAGTACAAATGCACAAGTACAATGCACAAGTTTCTTTGTGTCTGAATAAAACATTGTTTAAAAAACCTTTTTTCTCCTGCACATGACACTTCATGTATTATTTGATATGTTTCCACTCTGGATGTGTTCATAGATTCTGCAAATCCTGCAAGTAGCCACCATCCTTAGCACGACAGTCACAAATTCCAAAGACCAAAACACACTCATTTATAGATGCATCTGCAAGACTTGAGTTTACATTTTCCAAGTGGCATATTCAAGCTGAGTCAGATGACTCCCTGGTGCATTTACAGGAATTACTAAAATCTCAACACACTATCTCCACATCTGCTTTGGCTACTGCCTACTGATAGCATGTAACTATTTAAAACATACATACAGATACAGCACATACTACCTGATACATGATGTCTGCACACGTTCATCTTTTTGTATTTTACGCTAGTTGGCATTTTTTTAGGCAGTTTTGTACTTTATTTAAAAAACTTCTGGCTCATTTTATATAATCACTGGAAAACAACATGGTCTTCTAAGAGAGGGATACATCACTCCCAGAGGAACTGGCTGGTTACATTAGGAAATATTAGTGCCTTTTTTATGCTGTGTTATGCAACTTGAGAAAACAGCCTGATAGGAAATACTTCTGAATACTTTCCATGAGTACTCTTTTAACTTTCAACACTTTAACCTTCTCTGAGGGCAAATGACCATGACAAAGAAAAAGAAGAAAACAGATTGGGGCAAAGGAAAAAGAAACTGCGATTAGGAAGTGCAGAAAAAAACACAGAGCAAACAATAGCTGCTGTATTTTCATTTCCTTCAGATAAAAACTCCTTCTTCATCCCAAACGATCTGTGTTGCTGCAGTCTAGCTACCTTTTCTGAGAGGAGAGCTGCAGTTTGCTGGCTAGAATTTTAATCTAAGAGGAGAATCTTTAGCAAAGGTAAGTTGCTTTCTTCAAACAACCCTGTCTGACTGAGCTCAGCACCTCGCCTCTCTCCACTATCCGTGTCGGCCGACTCAGGATGTAGGGTATGTTGTTTTCTGCATATAATCTTTCATTTGCAAAAGGAGCTGTCTAACCCTACACAAACTAACACTGTTAGTGGGGCTGGGCTGGTGTGAAACCTAGAGGCTAAATGATGAGAGTTAGAAGTCTCATAAAATACTGTCTTGAAGAAGCTAAGATCACAGCAAAATAGATTACAAAAATGAGCTGGAGAGCAACTTTCCACTGGACACTAACGAGCATTTACCATAATTTGTGCTAGATCTACAGTAATGAGTTTGAGAGGAAGATAACAAATCTCTGAATAAAGATGATTGCTGGTGTTCAAAGAGCAAAAATAACAGAACTGATGGTCCAGTCTTAGACAAAGACTTCACACAAAAAACAAACAGAACCCATACTGTTTACCCTTATGAATTTATAAAGTCCTTTTTGGAGGTCATACACAACAAGACATACATTATGCAACCAAAACTCCTGAAAATAACCTGAAATGAAATTCATGAAATTCTTTAAGTAAGTAGTGTTCGAAATTGGGGCTTCAGGGGAGTGTAGGCCTTACTTGTTTTTAGGCACTGAGCCAGCTCCAGAATCTCACTGAGCTGTGGGGCAGTGCGGTGGTTATTTTAAAAAAGGTTGAAGGAGCACAGACATTCACAGCTCTGAAATCATGTGCCCAAAGGGAAATCTCTCCCCAAACTACCCGAGTTAAAACTACTATCTATCTTGAAGCACAAAGGCTTACATTTTTTTAACCCCAGTGTAATAGTGAGAGCTGGTATTCAATCAGCTCCTAAGCGTTACAGGTTCTTGAGCTGGTATCTTGTTACACAGAGTTACACCACAAAATATTTCCAGAACATAACTGTTCTTTTTTTTTCAGCATGATTAAATTAGACACCTTGTCGCTTAAGTGAATGCCTCTTTGTACAACGGCCAGGGGAGGAAAAGGAGTAAATGACAGATTATTTGGGTTCCAACAGAACATACAATCAGAAAGGCCTTCGTTCAGCCTAAAGAAACCAAGTGTATGATGTGATGAAGCCAGGCACTAGTTATTAGTATTAGCTGCACTTGATAACTTGTATGCACTTGATAAGTTAATACATTTGGAGATTAGTAACTTAGTGATAACTAGTGATGATTGATCCAACTGCAAAAGCATTCCAATAATCAGTAATTCAACTAAACGAATTTAAAACCAATTCCAGCGAGCTTTTGATGAGAGTAAATAAATGGCTCTAATGCCAGCCAAAGGGTTTTCAATTAAAAGGTCTTCAATGACTGAGAAGTTACTGGTCTTCTCCACAACTTTTCTTTAGTGTCTGGGGTCCTCTAAAGAAAATGGAAGGAACACACCGGAACATGCAAGCTGCCTTCTAAGTATTTCTGGACTGGTTATTTAGAAACCACCCTCTGGTAAGAGAAGATGCTGGTTAAAAAAAAAAGGTGTGTAAACTTCGAGATTAAGGCAAAAAAGTAATCATAACAGTAGTAGCAATAATAAAAAATGTGAAGGCAAGCTCTGAAAAAAGCAAATGGACAGTGAATGCAATCTACAGTCAAATTTTTTTTTCACCTGGGGAATTTTCATGAGTTCACCACAGAAAGGTAATAAATTCCATCAAAGAAATTGGTGAAGAAGGTTGTTCTTTTTTTTAAGGGTGAAATAAAGGAGATTTAATGTCGAATTTTGAAATAGCTGTAAGTACTATCAGGAGTTTGCCGAATATTGTCTGATAAATCCAATGATACGTAAGAAGCTGAGATCCAAACATAGCAGACATTTGAAAGAGAGCTCACATGCTAAAAAATAAGCATCCACAATACACTTGGACATGTTCGGACCTGCAATTCCACTAGTTCAGCACCAGTAGCTGGGAAAGTGCTGATGGGGCACTCTTGATAGAAGCACTATAGCTGCTAGCAGACACTACATGTCTTTATCATTTACCTCACTGTAAAATAATGAAATTTAATAAACAAAGGCAATTTATCCAGGCCTCAGGCAGGGCAACAAGATTTGAAAAAGACAGACAAAAGAAAAGGTGGTAGAGGTGACAAGCTACCATATATTGAAAACTACTTTTCAAGTCCCACTACAAAAACAAATACCTTTGCCTTATAATGAATACCTTTACCTAATAATTAATAATTTACCTAATAATTATATGATGAAATAGTCTCTGTTTTTTTTTCTTGCCGCATTTTTTTTTAAAGTTAAACAGATTATTCATCCTTAATATGGATGGTCGTTAAGGAAATGCAACAATAAAAATAATTGATCGATTGCCTCTTCCTGGCCCGTGCACATAGACAGAGCTGGACTGGCAGTCTGATAGCAGTGATAACTCATGATAGGTATTCCAGTTATGCATTGGTTTGGTTGTTTATTTTTCCTTTGGAAGCACAGAACCCTTTACCAGTGCCAGAAGACATATATTTTCTTAAGACTTCATAAGCCCTTGGAGTCCCCTGAAGGACTCAGTCCTGCCAAGTGCCAAAAATGTTGACTAAATTGAAGCTCGAGGGCCAGATTTAATGCCTTCATCAAGGAGATGGCCTGGTGTTAAGCTGCCAGCAACCCCCAGAATTACTAGTTCTGAGCAGAAACCGTTCAGATCATCTCGATCACAATGACCTACTCTCCCCCCAAATCACTGTTCTCAGTAAGCTGGAATTCTGGGCTATATTCGTGCTTGCAATACTGTGTACCTGTGTGGCAGTTTAAAGAATCTTTAACACATACCTACAGTAGCAATAAATGAGCCTCTAGGAAAACATGATCCAGGTGCATTAAAAACAACAAATGAAACTCAGATAAATTATTTGAGTTGCCAGTACAGAGTCTGAACCTTGAAACTGTCTGAATGGTCTTTATCAAACTCCGTATCAGTGAAAGAAATAGATTTACAAGAAAAGCAAACTCTCATACCTAAGGTTAATATAAATGCAAATTTTTGTATCTATGCTTAGTAGGTGGCATAAAATTGAAACTAGGTCATAATTCTCACCATTTTGTGCAATGTAAAGTAAAATTTATTTTTCATACGCATTGCATTATATTAAACTGCAGTTCTTCTTTATAAATTAATTTCAGATTTCTACCACAGAGCCTACATATTACAAAGAAAAATAAACTGATATTAACCATAGACATTATTGTGATTAATAAATACCTTTATGCCCCTGCTGCTAAAAAAAAAAAAAAAAAGAAATAATCTAAGCAACATCTCCCTCCCTGTCTCTGTAAATACATCCTCAGAAGACAGTTGACATTGTTATCTCCCCAACTGTTAAAATTAATAAAACTAATGACAAAAGAAACCAATGACAGCAAATATCAGACTTGAGAGAAAAAAACATTACGCCAGGGAATTGATCTGGGAAAGTTCAGGCACTGTAGATGATCAATTCAATATTGCAGAGAGTAACTAGATAAGAAAGTTGGGGAATTAGAGGGAAAAAAGCAAATAAAGAAAATATAATTCTGAGTCAAGACATTTCCTTCATAATGTGTGTGCTTCCTAGTGCCAGCGATCAAAGTATTCTATATATATAATTTGTATTTATAAATAGTTCAGGGAAATTGTATGTTATTCATTTGCATGGCATTTCTTTT